GAAAAAAATATGTAGAAAATAGATTTGGGTATTGGGCGGGATCAATCTAAACCCATCCCAAAGTGATCCCGCCCAAGTTAGTCCCAAAACACATATGGGTAAGGTTGATTCCAAACCCATATAACTCGATTCCAACTCAAACCCAAGCAAATCCCGTCCATCCCGCCCATTTTGCCGCCTCTAATTCCAGTATACAAACTCATTTAATCTTCAACTCAACTGGTGTCAGAGCTTTGTTGTATTACTGCCATCTTTTTACTCTGTCGAGGTTACTGACGATCTAATAATGTGAAGCAAGTAAAGTCGAGAAAATGAGGTGTGATGTTCTCCGTGAAACAAAAAACACGATGGAAATTTCGGCAGCAAAAGTAAAAGCTCAATTTACGAGGCAATAAGACTAATCATTACATTCCATTCTCTTTATCACCAGTGAATTCCTATTATGTCCTGCTGTCAAATTATAATGTAAGAGCTTGAACACCGAGATCAAGTCCATCCTTGATAGCTGCTTCATTTGCAGGGCCTGTTAAGGGTGGAATATATGATGGAAACCGCGAAAATGCAGCGCTGGGTGGTTGAGCTACAGCAGGGCCACGAGTATATTTTGCAGCTGTAGTCGGAGAAGGGGCAAACTTTTGATTCGAGAAGTTCCAGATGGGGAGAAATGAGACATTTGGCGGCGGCGTGCAAGCTGGAAGCCCCTGCCCATGATCGCGAACACCAAACTGCATAAAAAATAATGAATCAAGCCAAGAAAACTTAAATATTGTAGCTAATCAGAAGGTCATCCAAAATACCCCTCTTAATTGTAAAACGTATGTGGCTTCACATTCATAAATCTGTCGAAAAATTTGGTGACTTTTAAGGAAACATGCATGGTAGAGTTACAAAACCTGCTATCCTTCGACATACATTCACTAAAATTGATAGCAACAAAACCTTTCTGATTACCATGTATCGTGGACGGTGCAAGTCAGAAACAGCATGACTTGTAGCCCTGGGTGAAAGTGGGGGTCTTTCACAGGTTTTAACCTGCGCTGCGGTGGTTGCCTGGAAAACGATGAAAAGATAATGCATTTAAGTACCATGAAGTAATTACATGTTTGTCTATTAAAAATCCATTCCACAAAGGTAGATCGTCTGTAATCTGCTAGTATTTACTTGTTAGGCCGATCTCACACACTTACAACTTGGCAGTGGTATCATATCACTACAAAATGGAGGGAAATGTATACTTCTATATCGACATTTCCTGACCAACTCAATTACCTGTGGTGAAATAGGAGCATTATGGGAGTTTGAAGCAGAGGGCAGTTTAGAAGTTGAAGCCTGCGAACATGCGCGTGCAAATCAAAACTATCAAGTGCTATCAATTGTGTGTATAATAATAGTAAAGTATCCCCACCCCAAAAGACCCAAAAAAAAAAAGAAAAGAGGAGGGAAAGATGAAAATTCTGGCACAGGATGAAGTCCCACCATTTCGTCGAGAGGTATGTCGAACACGCTTGTTCGGCGTTTCTTCCTTTCGGTTGCTGTCATCAATCTGAGAAAGTACTTCTGTGCATGGCTAGCCACTTGAGTTGGAGTCCTGCTGTGGACAAAGTTTTTCGAAATTCCCTTCCAGTCGCCTTTCCCAAGCTTTTCCAATCCGAGTAGGAAAGATCGGTGTTCTTCCTCGGACCAAGGCTTTCCTGATGGACAGATTGAATGAGTTTTAATCATCCAGAAATTTTGACAAATTAACTTTTGATCCTTCAAGATAGAAGACCCTGTAGTCTGTACTAATTAATTTGTCCAACAGCCAACAAGACCACTTATCTGTTCCTTATTTTCCTAATTCAAGTGCAACATCGAGTACCTTCAAATCCTTCATCTCACTGTCATGCATGGGAGCCACGATTTTTCAATAATGTGGTTTACTACATCTCCCAACAGGATGAGTAGATTACACTAACATGAAAAGAATATATACATCTGGGAAACGATATTCTCCAATAAGCAAACCAAATTCATCATCCACCATTCTACCTCGGATGTTGCCAAGAAAACCAAGTGAAAACTGATGTACATGAATTTCGTAGAACACTAGAAAAAAATTGTAAGTGGAGTGTTTTTGTCTAGAAGTTTTAACATTGAAAGACAATCAAAGGATACCAATCAAAAGTGATAAAATATAAACAGCACTCAAACTGGAAGCAACAAGATATTGTTAACTTTCTCAACTCAAACCCGGCCAAGAATAAAGAGGCGGGCGGGTGACAGAGATTCTCACTTTCTGTTATTGGGCAGAAATAGATTAAATACACGATGGTTCAAGATAAAGTCAAAAGCTTAATAGAGAATAGATCATCAAATCGTTTAAAACAGAAAATAAGCCACGATGGTGATCCATATTGCACGATCCTGTCAGGAAATTTGATCATTCGAATACAGATCAAGACTGTAAAACACATGGTAGTATTCTTGATGTATATATCTGGAGATAACAAACCTTTCCTTCTTTCGTGGGCAGTTTTGGCTCCAGATGACTCGTGAATGAGGCCATCAGAGACATAACCATCAGCATCATCGGGCACGTTGCATTCACCATTGCATGTCTCTAAATTTCCCATGCTTTTGCTCTTTCTAATCGATTCATTTTGCCGGTTTGCATAATCATCTTCCACCACATTGATTTTTACTCCAAATAATTTGATCCCTTTGCCATTGCATGTTCTGGAGCAGTTTCCATTGTGCCCACAATGGGAACATTTCCTCAACGACGCTTTAACCATTCCCCCGACCCTCTTTTTCTCTCTACAATTGTATGATGGCTTTATTTATATTACCACAAAAACTGTGCTGATAAGTGATCGGAGACGAAGAAGATGTCCCATAGAACCAGGTTTCTTTTTGGTTGGGTACAAGACTATCAGATTCCTAGCTAAATGCTAACACGAGACTAGGCAAAAATAAGCCAGTCCATTTCGGTGCTTCAAGGAAGAAGTACTCTGGTCTTAAATTTATAATAGGGAAAATTATACTTTACCCCCTGTGATAAAGCTAATTTTTACATAACCCCCTCTAATTTTACAAGCTATATAAATCTCTCGTAGTTTGGATTTAGTGTGAACCTCATAACCCCCCTCATTAGTTTTACTAATCTCGGCATTATCGTTACTCGTCTCTAGATCATTTCCATTTTCAGTTGACATACAATCAAAATGAAAGCATTTAGCTTGTATATAACATACATCAATTTTAATTTTCTAGAAAATTCAGTGTTAACCTCACTGAGCAATTAATTATCTAATAATCATTACAATTTTCTAAAATACAACTAATTAAAAATTTGCAAATTGAATTTTGGACTTTTAACACATATTTAATGAGAAAGCCCTTGGTATATTGATTGCTGAAAGTGGAAAATATGTCAAAAACTTTTTCAAGTTCTCTATTACATTTATATTGTGATTTATTAAACGCTCCCATACTTATCTGATTCCCTTATGGATAAATGGTTATCATGAAGTTTGAGCAATCGCTTTTTTGGTGCTAAAGAGTTTTCATTTTTTTCTTTTGGTGTTGTGTTTCTTGCTCAAACATGTTATTGAGCGTTGAATATGAAATTATTGTGAGCATCAAGAGTAATTAGTTCGAACTTCAGGTGGTGATTTATGGTCCTATCCTCTACTTAAATGTACAAATATATAGTAAATGTACACTAGCAAAAATTAACTAGTAATTGGACTTTTAAGTTGTTCATATGACCAATGAGTTACTTCTCCAACCTAAAATAAGCCATGAACTTTTAGGTTTAAGTATATTCATCAAAATATTACTTTATTATTTATGTAAAAATGGATTCAACGAACACGATAGTTGAAATTAGACTTATCTAACTCCACATATCATATGAGAAAAATATTACCAATAAGTTATTTCTCCAACCTAAAAGAAGCCATGAACTTTTAGGTTTAAACATATTCATCAAAACATTACTTTTTTTAATGTAAAAGTGGATTCAACGAACGCAATAATTGAGATTCGACTTATCTAAATCCACGTATCAAATGAGGAAAATATTTTCAGAAATTTTGTATGTGTGACATGGTCACCTCCGGCAATTAAATGCGTGAAATCTTGGAATATTTCGTAATTAATGAATTTGTGTTGATAATAATTGCTCGACCTCCGGCAATTAAAGGCGTGAAATCTTGGAATATTTCGTAATTAATGAATTTGTGTTGATAATAATTGCTCGATTTGAACTTTAATTACTCGATTACTCACAAAAACAAGCAAAGAAAGGAATGTATGAAAGTATGAAATGAAAGTAGTTGAGTATCAATCTATTTAATAAATTTTATGACCTTAACTATTATTATCTACCTATTTCTTAGTTGTACTATAAGCTACTATATTTACCATTAATTTGTTAAAGATTGTTGCTGTTTATGCCCAAATTAAAACATCTTTCGGTCATTAAAGTACTTCCTAATTTGAATCCTCATTTTTTTTCCCAGTTTGATTGCAAAAAAATGCTTAACGTTTTTCACTAAATGGTTTGTGCATACCATAGTTAAAGATTATTTAAAGCTTAAGATTTATGAATGCACATTGGTGTTATATGCCAACTATTCATTTAAAGTTCAAGATGTATGTAAAGTATTCCGAAAATATTCGAGAACGTTGTTGATTTGGTATATCGTTTACTGCAAATAGATTGCGTCCTAGCAATTTTGAAAAGAAAAGTAGTTGGACAGAGTATTTAAGTATTTCTTGATTCTCCCAATTTAATATCGTTGCATTTGGATTATAAAAAAAAAAAAATCGTTGAATCTGGAGTACGAAAGCAAATGTTGGGGAGGTTATTGATATTTAAAAACCTACAGGGGAGGCCATTGATATTTTATTTTGTTTCTTTTCTTAATTTTTTGTGCACTTTTTTTTCATTTGAAAGCTCTTCATAACTTCATTTGACGTGGCCTCTTAAGAATGAGACAGAATGACACTAACACCACCAGTTTGTCCGAGGGCCGCTAGCCGCTTGTAAGCCGGTAGCCGGTAGCCCATCACCCCTAAGGAAACATCCGGTTCAAATCGGAACGCCGTCGCTTTGAAAACCTGTCAGCTCCTACTTAAACCCGTTCAACTCTTACTCCTCTGTCTCTCTCTCCAACTTCTCTTAGCATCCAAGTTCCTGATTTGGGGACTGTGAGAATTAGGGCTTCCATTATTTTAAGGTAATTATTTGTCTCCGTTGTTTGTTTTTTCTGTTTGTTGTATGGGTTTGGCATGATATCTGCGGCTTTTTAATTGATTTCATGCATTTTTATTTCTTTACGTGTTAGAATTCCTGATCCCTAATCATACATGGTTGGATTCCAGCTCCGGTTTAATAGCATATTTTTCTCTTTGTCGTTTAAATTAGAATTTTGGAGCAATTCTGTCTTCTAGAACCAAACTTGGCTTTGCGGTATTTTTTGTACATTGGTGTTATTTGGCTTGATTAAACAGTGGTTATCTTGACTGATTAAATTGCACAGTTGAGTCTGTTATTCAATATGGCACTGGTATACAAACTAGAATGACCATGAAGTATCATGATTGTGATTTCCTATTTTTAACCGTGTCTTTGTTGTTTCCTTGTTTTGATGTTTGTTTAGGTATATCTGTTATATGGTATGTATGTGTGTGTGTGCATGTTTTTATGTATCTGCATACCATTTCTCTTTTTCCGTTTTATTTTTTCTTTGTTTTACTTGATATTGTGATTGTAAATTTGCTACTTGCCTTCTCTCTGCATTGACGCCGATAAACACTCGTTGCCTTTATCTATTGGGTGATTTTGTTTTAGTTCATAAATATCCTTGCTTTTTTGTCCTGCCTTTTACTTTCCAATTTTGCTTCAAATGGTATTGTTGGTTGTGTTTTCGAGATTAGCGGAAATATTTGACTGCTTCTTAGTAATCTCCTTATCTTTGGCAGTAGACGAAGGGTTTTGACTTGGGTCACTTGTCACAGGTTTAAAGTTTCTTAACTTGTTATGTCAAGGTTTTGAGGAGCTATGCTCATTTATCCTGATTTTGCCTAACAAGGATGCCAGGCATACCTTTAGTGGCTCGTGAAACCACGTAAGCTGTCATTGTTTGGAGCTACCTCTCTTCATGTAATTGTCATTTTTTTGGTTAGTGATGCAAGTAGTTGCTTGTATTTTGAGGATGTATACTGACAGGGGTCTTCTCTCTCTCTCTCTCTCTCATACACACGCACACACGCACGCACGCATGCGTGCACGCAGGTGCACACTCACACTCACCCCTTCTCCCTCATGTTATTTATTTGTACTGAGCAACTGGATTTGTTTTTCTCATTAGTGGCTTTTTGTATTACTAGTTTTTCTGGTGCTAGATATTGGCACCTAAGTTGTGGATTAGTTTCTTTTTTTCTGTGGTCCTTTTGCCCACTCAATAATTATGAAATAACCAGGCACTTTAACCATGGTCACTAGAGCAAGGATAGACACATCATTATATTCTAATTCGTGGAACAGGAATTCTCTTTGCAATTGCAGTTGTTCTAGAGGGCCAGATCAGATGTGTCGCCAAGATTCTCGTCTGAATTTGTCTGCTGAGGAGGAAATTGCAGCTGAAGAAAGCCTTTCAATTTATTGCAAACCTGTAGAACTATACAACATCCTTCAGCGGCGTGCAATTATAGATGTAATTCACTTCACTAATGAGTTTTTTGACCTTGCTTCTAGTAATCAAAATGCATTGTTTGTTGAAATTTGAAGGATATTGTTTCATATATGAAACAGGTATGACATATTGAATGTGTGTAATATCAAAGTTGTGTCTGAAGATGTGATAATTCGAATACCATTAAGTTCTGTCCTTTTGATGTAAATATGGTTCAAATTACCATCAAGAACATTCACATTGATGAAGATAGATTAGTTGGACTGTGTTTTTAGCATCCAAGTAGTTGTATTCTTCTTTTGGTCAAAGTTCTAGTGCATCAATTTTAGGTTTGACTTTGTGAATTTTTTTGCATGATTTGCTAGGCTGAGTGATCTGTTATTGAGACTCTAAGCCACTTGAACATGGTATTCAAGTGTATTGTAGCAAGGTTGTCCTAATAGTTATATGTTCTCCAAACAGCTTAAGCTTAGTATGTTGAGAAGCTAAGCTATAGTGATACTTTCTTGTGCTTGTTTAAGCTGTAATGATGATTTTATGCCCTTTGCATTTGTCTTAATACGTCTGAGATCTTCTGGTAGAGGAAAAGGCAACATTGTGATATCATATTCATCCTCAAGGTAAATAATAGGACCAAAAGAAAGGGAAAGATGAGCTCTAGTATAAGTATCTGTAGTCTCTCCAACTCCACAAATGGAACTCTCAGAGGCATTCTTGAGATATCTAGACTCAAGAAACTAATTACACTAACTATAAATATGATGTTTGGTGTTGTCAATTTCGCTACAAGTGCTTGTTATTGTCTTACACAGTGGGACCCATAAGGTTAACAACAGGTTTTCTACTTTCCAACTTAAAATTGAAGTTAACATGTGAAGAACATATTTACCTGAGCACGGATGGGTTTGATAACGTGACTGGATAACATCCACACAGATGTTGGAGAAAGCTGATGAAGTTACTGACTACATCTAATTTAGTTTGCACTAGAGAATCAGGAAGTTTAAGTATATTGTCGTGTTTCCATGAGAAAATGTATGAACTATTGATTGAAAATCTCATGCTAGTTTTGTAGATCGAGTTGCCAAGCGATTTATCGAAGTTTAGGAGGTTTTGGTTTCAATCGTTTCTGATTTAGGGAGATGGAGTTTACAAGTGTAGTATATTTGAAAATATCTAAGAGCTTGTATATTTTTGTGATGTAGTTTGAGATGGACTGTCAAGAGAGAGAATAAGGACAATATTTTGACTTTATGCTTCTGGTTTCTCCTTTAAACTTAATTGATTGTAGACTGATGGTACTCTAACTGCTCTGCCAGATTCTAACCTGTATATCGGTCTTTATGCAGCCTTCATTTCTTCAGAGATGCTTACGATACAAAGTACAAGCAAAGCATAAAAGAAGGTAGCTTCACTTGAAACTAACAATTGTTTTCTCTTTTTCCATTTTACATAGTATATATTCTTTTATTTTTTACATTATTTGAAGTCCAAACTTAAAATCCGATGTAAGATCTTCTCAGCCTTGCTGCCTAATATATCTGTGAATTATGCTAGCTGTTTTTATATTTTTGGATTTTTAACTTTTGAGATGTCCCTTGAAGGGGATTAGATTGGCTGTAGCTGTGTAGGGAGAACCTTTCCTATTTACCTTCAGTTTTGGGTTGCCTTCTGTCTCCAAGATTGCAACTCTTTTCCTTATCACTTTTTTATGTAATTGTGTTTTTCTCAAAGCAGCTCTTGGCAGTAATTTTAACAGACTTCAGTTGCAGGTCTGCTGTAAAAGCTTTGGATTCTGTCTTTCTTTCTTTTTTAATTAAATGTTGGATTAAAGCCAATCCGTTAAAACATTTGGCTTGGCTGGTTTTACTTATAGAATTTGGGCAGTTTAGTGTGGGCGTACTAATTAGGCTTGTCTTTCATTAGTAATTAGTTTCTAGCCAAATTTTAAATAGTTTAAAGTAGATGAAGATGTAAAGGTCTTAATATCTTCAAATGCAGTGAGAATTTAAGAAAAGGTAGGTCTTCAGGTTGTTGAATATTTGTTTCTCTGGGTTTAATGATATTGAGAATGCAAGGCTGAGCAAGAGGCTTAGGATTTTCACTTCACATGGAGCTTATTCAAAGCTATTTGAGGACATATATTCATTTGGAAATGTGTAACGTATCTACAAGGTTTCTTGTTTCATGTTGCAATTTTTGGTGCGTTTGAGTAATAAAAATGGTGCTATCATCCGTTCTGCATGTTAATGCATTTTCAGTGGCTTATGACTAAACTATTTTGAATCACCAGGATACAAATGACAGTCTCGCTGCCAGCTACTGTAAATGATGGTTTTCAAATTCAAAGCCTGTTTCCTTTGTGCATAATGTTAGGAAAACCTGCTTCTAGTGCCGAATTCACTGAGGTAGAAGTACATTCAGTTTATCCTATCAGTTCAAGCTTGTGGTTTTCTTCCAAGATTCATAATTTGGCTTAGTCTGATGTCCCACAGGGTTGTGCTTCTTATAATTTCAATCGGTCCTGCATATTGACCTCTTTTCATGGAGATGAAGGAGTAAATCATGCTCAAGCAAATTTTATTCTCCCCGAGATCAATAAGCTATCAGCAGAGATAAAATCTGGCTCTCTTGCTATCTTGTTCATCAGCCGTGGTATGCCAGTGTGCGTGTTTCTTGATCATATATTCAGATATTGAAATCTTAACTGTGCTATTTCTACTACTTATGCCATTCTTTTCAGTGGAGTTCACTAGAGATCGCGTGGATGTTTCCTCATTTTCATGTAAGCCGTGATGCTTTTTCATTCTTAGTGTTCTTTGAATAGAGGTCCCTAAAGATGCCTTTGCATGCAAAATGTTAAGGTGCTACGCAGCCTGGACAAATAAGTTGGATTATTGGGAGAAAAGCAATCAAATGGATGCTATCTTTTTTACATTTTGGTTAACTGTATTTAGTTGCATTTTAATGAGTACTTTTTCTTTCATTATACCTAATCTAATTTCATAGGGAAGCACTTGCTAAAGTAATTTAATGCATTCACAGTTACTAAAGCAAGTCTGATTCTAACATTTGACAGATAAGGTTCTGCTCCATTTGGATTAGGTGTTTTTGGGGGTGTTTTTGAAAAATTTTACTGTAGCAGAGTTTTTAGAGTATATTTTGGGATATTTTTAGAAAATATTTTGGAATATTTAAGAGTAGTAGAGTTTTTAAAATATTTTTTAGAATATTTTTTAAACATAAAAAAAATTTAGACTACTTTTTAGAGTACTTTTTAAAAATTTTTGTAGTATTTGAAAATCTGAAGAATCCAAACAGAGATCTAGTTTTGATAGTCAAATAACTGATTGACTTGGTGAATTCAAATTGTTTGTTTATAGTTGTGTGTAGTCAAATGGTGTACTCATCAGAATGGTTATATCAAGCATGTGGGGTAACGTATGTTAAATCCTGAACTTTTTCAATTTTCATAAGCTTATTATTGATTGTGTACATCACAAGCAACAAGCTATAGTTTCATAGTTCTACATCTACCATGTAAATGACAGAAGCTGTGTGCATTTGGACAACCTTGAAGCTTCTCCTAGTATTGGCTTAAGATTGTATTTTCTCAAAATCTTAGATGATTAAACCTATATGATAGTCAAATCACCCTAGGTTCAATAAATTGAAGTGTTTCTCCACTGCTGCAGTTCTGCTTTGTTTAAATTAGATGACTTTGAACTGTAGGGAAACTGCTAATCTTGTCTTTTATTTTTTGCTTCAGCTTTTTAATTTGTGTGTGTCTTGGTAATAGCAAATGCTGGAGGGCACTGCTTGTTGGGCAAGATACCAATGGAGTTAATTCACTTGTCCTGGGAGAAGTCTCCAAACTTGAGTTTAGGCGAGAGAGCTGAGATGCTATCTACTGTTGACATGCACCCTTGTTTTATGACGGTATGTTAGAACGTATAGCTACTGTTAGTCAATTATCAATTTTTGTAAGAACATTGGAGCCGTCCATCACTATAAATGAATTGATAGATATATCTGATGTTACTCATTATAGTAATCCTTAATGCCCAAGTTTAGTTTACGTTTTTAAAAGATATGAAAACAGATTCATCAGAAAATTGTGATTCTGTCTAGCCGGAGTGGTTACTTTTTTATCTATGGTTTGAAAATTTCCACATATTGGTGCCCCTAGTTTGAAAATTTCCACGTTTTGGTGTCCCTATCATATGTGGATGGGTGTTGACTTTGTAGAACCAATATTTATTCTTTGAAAATTTCCACGTTTTGGTGTCTCTTTCATATGTGGACGAATGTTGACTTTATAGAACCAATATTTGTTCTTTTATGGACTCCTTTCAACCTGGGAACATAATTTCATCCAATATGCTCAGTGATTTTTGCACTCTGTTTACCCTAAGTTTACCAAAAACGTGGAAACATATATTTGCTTTGGCTACTGCTTCATTGAGTAGTTGTCTCTACAGGTTCCCCTTTGCTGCCTCCAAGGTGAGAACATGTTTAATCCTTTGGTAAGCATTACATAAAGAAATAGTTTAGTGCTGCCAACAATTGTTTTTCCGCCCCAGCCATTCTGTAGTATAGGATATTACACATGATGTTTTTTTCCCCAAATTGCTGTCAAAACAAACTTGTGCTTATGTTGTTTCCCTTAAATTTGTTTAGATGGGAGTAAAATACCTTTTTGTTTTCCCTAAATCATGTTCTATTCTTTCAATCAATGGCTGGGGACGAATTAAAGTGTAATTTTTTGAATGTTGCAGTTCAGTGACGTATTGATAGTCTAATGTCTTTAGCTATGAACAGAGGGACGATTTCATTCTCTTAGCTTATGTGTAGGTCTAGTGGTGCATTTTATTTTTCTGCTTATAGTTTTTTGATGAATTTTGTGGTTCCTTGAACAGTCAAGCTGTTTGGAAGAGGATAGATGTGTTTCATTTCAGACAGCCCATTCTTCTGGAACTCTGGTACTCCTAATTCTCTAATGTGGCTGTATTATGGTCTTATCAGCTTTGAGTTCAATTATCATTTTGTTATGATTTTTACTGCTTTGGCCATTAAAGGCTTCATCGCAGCAATTGCAAGTCATAGTCACTGCAGAAGAAGTTGGAGCGAAGGATAGATCTCCTTATGATTCTTACTCCTATAATGATATCCCCTCCTCGTCATTGCCGCATATTGTAAGGTGAAGTCCCATCTTTCTGCACTCATAAGTTCACGTGTGCACTCTATGTAGGTTAGTTCTTTGCAGTGTTTCTGGTGCCAGAGAGCTACTATTTGCACACTAGTTCTTATTCGTTTAACGAGCATATCTTACACTGGCATTTTGGTGTTAAACTTCCATTCTATACCAATCCAAACCAATGATAATCCACATTGTCTCAAGACAATTGAACCCTGTTCAAATTTGCTCTAATGCCTGAATCAGCAATTGTTCAAGTTGAAAATAGTTTTTTTTATGACTTTTATGTTTGCTTAGATAAAAAATAGTCTACCTTTTAGAGTAAGAAGTGACTTTTAGATAAATATGGTTTGTTTATCCTTCCTTTTCTTTTGCTGCATTATGAAAACAGAAAATATCTTCTTTGGATGTTTATTTCATGAGTTCATTTTTATGTTATCGAGCTTCATGTCAGGATGTCTGCACTTCTAGGACGCCTGCTATTCTAGATTTCACTTATTTGATTTGGCACCAGTGCAGAGCCCTCTCTTTTGTTGGTTCAGTCTTTGTTGAACTGAAGATATTTACTGTAAATGATGTTTGACTTATTACCAATCTGTCTCTTGTGAATACAACCTGCAAATTATTAACTCTGACTATCACATTATAGGTTGAGGACTGGAAATGTAGTTTTCAACTACAGGTACTATAACAATAAGTTGCAAAGGACTGAAGGTAATATTAATCTCTTTTCAATGCAATTGGGACGAATCCTTTCAGTAGTGCTATCAACTTATTGTGATGGTGATTTTTTTTTCAAATTCTAAAGTCTGATTTTTTTTTTTGGGGCATAAAGTCTGATGTTTGATAAGACTTAAAAATTTTGACATGAGCCTAGATCCTAAAGTATGCTAGGTTCAAATTGCCTGAAGTATTAATGAGTATCTTACAGATTAAATGTATATGGTAGCTACTGAAAGAAATTGTGTGTTAATCTTTGTTTACATCTAATATCATACAGATAGACTTAATTTAACTGGATCTTTGTGGATTAGATCTATGTAGATTTAGACTCTGTCTTATCTTCGAGTCTTACAGATGTGGTTGGGCTTGATTTGGTATGCTAATTGGCAAAACCTAGACCGCAATTAACATGTATGCTAGGATTTCATTCAAAGCTCACTATCTGTAGTTTTACTTTATTTTGTATTGTTCGTACTGTCCAAATTCTTCACATAATCTACTGCTATGGTGTCTTGGACTAATGAAGCTGACTTTATTCTGGATGTCATTAACTTTTCAAGTTTGAAGTTGAAAACCATGTTGTGTATCACAGAAAAGTGCATCAACAGAACACTCACAAAGAACATTGGAGTTAAACAGTGCTCAAAATGATTCTTCCTCTGTTGCATCTCTTCTAATGCTATGGTTTATTTCCCTATTTTTAAGTTAATGGATTGGTTTGGGAAGTCATATTTTAGTTGGTGTTTTTAACTGTTAGGAGAAATTGACAAAAGGTCATTTAAAAGTCTTCTGCAAAAGTAATACGATGTCTACTAACTATAGTTTCTGATCAAACACATTTTATATTGTCTGGAAAACCAGGTGATTAACTTGATGAAATATCATTCATCCCTACTGGTACAAGGTGATAATTTACATTGTATAGGTGATAAACTTATTAGCTGCTCTGAATTTGCAGTTACTGAAGACTTCTCCTGTCCTTTTTGCTTGGTCAAATGTGCTAGCTTTAAGGTGATTGTGGTTTTGAGATTTTTCTTTTTTCTTTTTTCTTTTTGTTGTTTTTAAGTGATACATGCACTTGATTATTTGTATCTCAAAAGTTTCTTATGAGTATTGTGATCTTTTAGGGCTTGAGGTATCATTTATCCACATCGCACGATCTCTTCAACTTTGAATTCTGGGTTAGTAAACTTCAGCTTTCTTCTTGAGGCTGACATTTCTTTCTTGAACTATGGAAGCTGATCTTCTATTATCATATAGGTGACTGAAGAATATCAAGCTGTAAATGTGTCAGTGAAGACAGACATTTGGAGATCCGAGGTGAGGAGACTGATTCATACGGGAAAATTAAATTGGAGATATTTGTGATGTTGGTTATTGAGTTGAACATATATGAAAAGTTCATGGTGTGGAGTTACTGTCATACGCCAGTGATTTTACAATAAAAAAATATTGAAGTCCTGCATAGAGAAAAAGTATCTCCTAGCATATCATCATATGTCTAGGCATGGATACATATTTTAAATTCTAATTTGACATGTAAGACATGGTACTTCTTCCTAATTGTTTAATCACATAGACGCCTCTTAAAATTCTTGGCAATTCATCAAGTCCAAGTGGTCTTTTGGGTACTGTAATTGACTGGAGAGGGAATTGCAAAATATCATCATATATATATATATATATATATATATGCATAAATACATTTATTAGATTCTTGTTTGACATGTAAGACATAGTACATCTTCTAATTGTTTAATCAACACAGATGCCTCATAAAATGAACATGAGAACTAAGGAAAAATCTTAGATGTATGAACAAATCTAATGCTGTGTCAGGAGTTATTTTGGCAAGTATTATGTAATTCTTACTGCTAGTGAGTTATTCTGATTACATTAGAGTGCATTTATTGATTTAAGTTATACCTGATTCTTGGAATGGTGACATGCAATTGTAATTGGTTAAAGGGATTTAAATTGCCCTCATCAATTGATTCGTTAATAGCGTATTGAAGCCCTAGAAGTAGACAGACGTAAACAGATGTAGATGTTCACCCCAGCCTAACCATTCCAGGATCAGTCTGCGAACTGATGGATAAATAACAAGAAAGTATGAATAGTGCCCATGACATGCTTTTATGGTTGTTACATGAAAAAAATTGGTTACATTTCGAGGGAGATATATATACTTGTGAAACACATTTTTTGCCTTGTTTAGATACGTCTGCATCATAGGTTTTTCACTTGTGATCTAAGAGTACTTTTTTGTCCTTTGCTGGTTGAAAATTTGTTTTCCAACGTTTTGGTTTAAAAAAAGGGTGGGTCATTCTCAAGTATGTAATGGACATTTTGCACCATGTGACTAGATTGTTGCAGATGGTGTTGATCCCAAGCAGCAAACGTTTTTCTTTTGGTATGTACTCTTCTAAGCTTCAGTTTTGATATTCTTTGCACGTCATATATTGTCAGTTTGGTGAAATCTGATAAATTTAGTGACAAGGACCAGTATAATGTATATGCAGTTCAAAGCCATTGAGACGCCGAAAAAGAAAGAGCCTTGTTCAAAATGCAAAGCATGTACATCCGCTTGTCTTGGATTCAAGCTTACCTGCATCTTTTGACGAACTTCTTGATAAGACTGATGGTATGAGTTGTCATATATAAGTTTATCTTATGTTCATTTGCATACTTCCTTTTGTAAAATTAGATGAGACTTTCACTTTGGGTGATCCATCAACTTAACCTTCATATATCCCAAAGCGAAATTTCTTAGTCTGGTCCAACGTGTCATTGCCTTTCAAAACATGCAATCAATGGGACTTTTGCTGGTGCTGAGACATACTTCTTGATAATCTTTAGAGCATTTGAAAGCTCAAATCATGGGCCATAATTTTGTCAGTACTTGGAAGTAATGTTATAGTTCTTTACTGTCCTAGAGAATTGGAGGATGAGATGTTCATTACAGATGGGTAAATTAGTGGAACATTTAAGTTGGGGCTTAGGGACTATATATTAACTGATGCAGATGTCATGGCTAATGACATGAATGGCATTTTCTATAGCTATTTATAACTACCTTCCCAGTTGTGGGGTAAAATTTTCTCCTGTCCGTGTATGGTATTAGTAGCATGACCTTTTCAGTTTTAGTTCTTGACAAGAATAGTTTTATGAAATGCACTTCTGAAGACGGACTACGAAATCTGGATGGTGCTTAAAATGCCAAGAAATATTGTTCTCTCTGTGTAAGATGTGATAGCATGCCCTTGGAAGTGGAGCTTATCTGTTTTCACTTGAACTACGAAATCTGGATAGTGCTTAAAATGCCAAGAAATATTGTTCTTCCCCTCCTCCTCTAGTTGACTGCTTCAGTTTTCTAGTAGAAATGGTCCTGCATTATCATGCTGCATTAGTACGTAAACACTTACAAGTTCAAGTCATGTGGGGACAAGGTGTCTTCTAAGAGTTATGTAGTGGTTTCTTCTCATTGGGATTTCGCCTGATCATATGAGGAGGAATTGGAAGCTTACATCTTCATGTCATCTCGTCAATCTTCTTAAAGTTGCATAAAATAGTTTGAAATCAGGGGTCTTTTGTTGTTGTTGTCTCACTTAATAAATTGTTTGTAACTATTAGAAGGTGTTGCAGAATTTGTAGAACATTATGCATCTAGTCCAAATATCCCAGGGTTATCCTCAGCTGGAAATTCATATGCAGATCCTGAATGTCTTCCTTCAGTGCCTGGAAGTAACATTGCACCTCCAACTGTGCTGCAATTTGCAAAAACAAGGAAGTTATCAGTTGAACGCTCGGATCCCAGGAAGTATGCTAACAAAGTGATTATAATGAGCAAGTTTTACTCATCTAATTGCATTAATTTGGTGTTCCAAGCTTCTGGATAAATCTATTCGAATTTTGTCATGGACAATAGTGTCTTGTATTAGGTGTTTGATTTTGCTGGAAGGTTATTTGCTTGTGTTGATCTACATTAAATTGGCACCCTTTTACTTTGTGATATCTGTACTATGGGGTCATATTGCTGGAGATTCTGTCTAAGTTGTGTTTATAGCTGTCATCATGAAATTTCTGATCTTTTGCTGATGGATGCTTGTAGTTGATGGGTGTGCCTCCCAGAGACGGCAAAACTGAGATTGCTCTCATTTATGATGTAACGCTTCTCTTCTGTTTTATTCGTTATAGATACAGCTTTGATTCGAACTTCTCAATCCAGAGAAGATCAACCTGGGATCAACTTTTACACCTTTATGTGTTGATTCCAGGCCACAACAATCTAAAACCACATTATGTTCAAGGATCTTCATGCTTGTTTGGATTGTGGTGTTTTACAGAAAAATTTTTATGTTTATTGTAAATATAATTATTTTTTATTTTACATATATCAAATTGTTACGGTGGAAGTTGCATGGTAATAAATAATTATCTTGAGATTAGTAGGATTTTTCCTTCCCAACTTTCTTCATGCGCTACGCATGCCCGTCTTATCGTTGGGACTTAGGAGTGAAAGTGTGAGGGTTGTCTCAACCTTTTTTTTTTTTTGGAGCTAGGACGGTCGTGGCTCACTTAAAGTGGTCGGATTGTTACCAGTTCAATTGGTGATAGGATCAACCGCTAGACACCTGATTAATCGAACCTTATAATTCGGTGTCTGTCGCAAAGAAGACAGCTGCCGAGCCGAGTCGACAGCACAAGTTCATCTGTAAAAATACAAGAGTGGTTGGGGTTTTGTCTACAGTCTCACTCCTATGTTGAAGTTAGTTATAGATCGAGGGTTAAAGGTACAAGTAGTTGGATGGTTCGTAATGTGTACCTGACTTGTAGATAATGATGAGTAGTTATAAAGGGAAAATTCAATAGCCAGGATTTGATACCTACGCCTGATTAATGATTAGATGACAAGCTATAGCGGCAGATTCAAACATAACTCTGATCATTAGGACGGTGGGCGTCACATCAACCTGTCAATCATTAGTCATCTCATTTATCAATGTGTTAGGTGTTGGAGTCTATAACCGTGCTCAAGAGAATAGTGAAGTTGGGTCAATTAACCGAGATGGTCCTTCATCTCGGGACGGCGAAAACGAGATTGTTGAAGAAACTAAAGAGGCGAGATAATCATATTGGTATGAATAGCGAGGTGGTGACCATACTTCGCTTATAATTTGCTCTGCGATGCAACTACTTGTAAACAAAACCCAAGACAAATCCTAATCAAAATTCATATCTCACTAGATTGAACTAGAAAAACCCTGACCCCTTTAGATATTTTTATTTGATAGAAAGAAAATGGAGAGAAGTTTAGGGGGAAATTCATTTCATTTCAAATATGTAGGCTACCATGCATTTTAGTTACTGTTTTGTACAACTCTCCTTTAAGTAGCATGACCAAAATCAATCCTACTAGCGAGCCGCCCATCGAAATCGATTTAAACACGAAATAGTGAAGGGGGATAAGAGAAGAACTCATCAAACCAACCCAAAGTGAAGAAAGGGAGTAAACCGGGGAGTCAAGTCACGGATAACTCAAACGTAAAACCATTAGAAAAATTTTGAGATAATTTCAAAACCCCTTCTAAGCTTTCTCCTAATATCACTTAGCACCTTTGAGATTTTTAAAATTTCATTTACCTCCTCTATCTACTTGACAAGATTAGATGTCCTTTTTAATAGTCACAAATTAATGCCATTACCCTTACATTTTTAATAATTATTAACAAAAAGTTCCCAAACAAAAGAGATTTTTTAACCCCAAAAATAACCAAATAACAATCCAATATTAGTCCGTATTTCTATGTATCTAGATGGTGGTAGATTAGCAAAGGAGGTGATTAAGTTAAATTTAGTAACATCAATCACTTAAAAAGATTTTTTGATAAATAATTTACACCTTAAAAAATTTTGTGGACGATCTTAAGGACTTCAAGCAAATACACAATGTAATTCAAGTTGTATTCGAAATTAAAATAAACTTTTTTATACATGTAGTCTGCATGTAAAGCCTACTTATAGAAAAAAATTTATAAATAAGCCATTTAAAATATTAATCAAAAAATGATCTCATGATAAAATATCAAAAAATTGCCTATACTTTTTTTTAGGTGAAAACAACATGGGCAATTTCTAGGTATTTTAGTTTTACTTTCTAGTCTTATTTTAATTTTTATTGTTGATGTAAGTTTCATAAATAAGACAACATTACCTTAGTATTGGAAGTAGAATTTTTTCTCTCTTTGCTTTCTCCTAAAGGGCCTAGAATGTTACAAAAAAAAAAATGTAAATTCAAGGGGTAAACTAGGACTGTAATTGAAATTTGACTTTCTCCGCTCCATCCATCACCGACCCTAGTGAAACAACATCCTCTACTGAAGAAAAATCCAATTATTTTCCGCCCTCGCCCTCTATTTAATCCATATCTCAGTTCCTCGATCATTTCTCTCACGCCTGCTAATATATACCTAAAGAAACTCATTTTTCCATACCGATAACCTGCATTCATATATACATAACTCATTCTTGGGAAGTGAAGTCAAAGAAGCCTTCGACGATGGAACCTGACTACTTCGGGATGAGCAAGACGAGAAAGACTTTGAAGCTGAAATCCCCCTCGATGAGGAAGAGGAAGAGGAAGCACAGAGGACTACTGTTTCTGAAAATCTAAGCACAGAAGAGGTTTCTTTCTCTCTTTTTTTTCTTGCTTCACTTCACTATAGTTCGGTTCTGCATATGTCTATTTTCCTATCTCTATCGTATGCTGCGCTTTGAAGTATATAATTAGTGTTCGAGTACATGTTTTTTTATGTATATCAGGGCAAATATACTTAGCCCTAGTTCTTTTTTCTTTTTTTTCCTTTTTCCGTTTTGGGCGTCTGATCAGGAGCTGGAGAACGTGAAGAAGAAGCTTAAGGAGATTGAAGAAGAGACTGGCAACCTCCGCCAAAAGAGTGCCCTAATTGAGAAGGAAATTGGGGGTGCTGCTGAAGGTGAGATTTACTTCAATCATACACATGCAATCACAAAAACACAGACACCGACAGCCAATATTTGTATACATTTTAACATTCACTGGGCAAAATGTTAGTCGGATCATATTCCTGCAAAAACACATCGGTGCGCACACAATGTATTTACAGAAGTGCATATTGAAACCAAATATTTGATGTCATAATAATACATTTCCGGGGTTTTTTTTTTGGCAATCTTTACTTGTGTTTCATCATTTCCAACAAGCTTCTGTAAATTTATGGTAAAAGCTATAAAGGGAAAGTAATGAGCGGCAGCCCTCTTGCTTGGGTGCATCTTAATAGAAAATAAGATATGATGACAAACAGAGTTTTGCAACATGTTAAAATGACACTTGGTATGGTCATTACTTGACAGCAATGAACTGTTATAAGTTATTACTTCATATGTAATTTCATTTATGAAGATAGTGATGGTTGTTTTGCTGGTATGGATATAAAGTAGGAAAGCATAGTGTGATATCCGGAAACATTTACAGCAATGGCAAATGGTTGTGGTTGGGCCCCTGGAAGTCAAAGTTATGCTATTTATGTTTTTGTGCCACGTGAAACATGTGTCAAAAACAAATGACACATCTTGGGTAATTTGAATACTCAGTCATCGTATCGATGAATGGAGAATGTTTCCGATTCATGTAGGATATACGAGCAAACAATTTTTGGGCCTTGGAACCAGATCAAGTAAATACCCTAGGGATGGTTTGGAATATCTTTAACTGATTCATGTGTGGATAATGATCATTTGAGATATTAGTTCAGATTTTCTATTCTGTAAATAGAGCCATGGATGATATCTTTAGAAAAGAGCATGAAAGAAGGATGGATTTTTTTGGGTATTAATGCCAATGTTAATAGAGGAAGAAGAGATGAAAAGCAAAGTGAAATTAGGAAGGGAATAAAATGCCAAATGTAGACAGATAAATGGTGGTAGCTGTTAGATTCATTTGAACAAGGGTTATGCTTATAGTCTAATTCATTGGAATCCGAGACTAGTATTGCTTAATGCGTGTCTTTATTTTCTAGATTGGCTTCCTTCTGCTAACCACTTCTCAACGTTGAGGATGAATAAATATTGTTGCTTTATATGTGGATATACATATTTAATTCGTTTGAACATCTGTAGACAATCTACAAATTCCAGATGATTAATGTTTTGTCCCTTCTCTAGTTCTCTTAGACGTCTTGCTATGTTGCAATTCTGCTGGGTATTAATCTGGTTACTTATCATGAAAGATTTATATACATTTGCTAGGTCATGAAAATTCAACTGGTGCTTCTGATGATGGTCAGTCTGAAAAAGAGGAGGTGGATTCCCGTTCAATCTATGTTGGAAATGTGAGGCTCAAACCCCATCTTACATAAGTTGCTTATAAACATTTGTTTGCCACGGTAAAGTTTTGTCAATACTGTAGCACAGAAATTAACTGGTTTTATGATTGGTTGGAAGGAGATGTGCCACACTGAAATTTCATCCTTTTAACATCTTAAAATTCATTCATTCTGTGTTTGAATGGAATCTTCTTAGAATCTAAATGTGATGGTTTCATCTTATTGCGGTGGAAGTGCTATAAACTATTGTTTCCTCAAGAATTTCTGGGTTGCATTGAAAGTAAGTAGTATAAGGTGGTGAGATCATCTCTTTTCTTGTTGACATGATCTAACCCATGACAACTAACTTGTGGGAAATCTTTACATCTCTGTCACTTTCAAGTATCTAAAATAAGCAGTTAGTCCTAGCCCCCAACACAGACACACATACACAAAAACAAAAGGGGAAAAGAAACAACGCATGCTTTGTCTCAGATTCTTAATAGATTTTAACATGTTGCATAAACTCTTGAAAAATTTCTAATGTGTTTAAACACAGAAGAAAATTGCAGCAATCAAGAGCAGCTTATAGCTCTGACTTTCGCTTTATAGTAGATTGTTTTTCCTCTTGAATGTGATCTCTAAGTCATTTAGCACAATTCCTAGAATTGCTTGAAGTCACCATAATTACTATCCGTTATGTATTGATGACAAAGAGGCCTCCGTCACAGAACAGCTTTTCCAA